TCTTTCATTAAAATGTGAGAAATGTCTCAAAATCCATCTAAGCAAGTGCTGAAAAGTATCATGTGTTAAAAATCTTTCAAAAGCTGAGCATCTGGTGAAACTTGCCATGGGCCAAACATCTAAAGAGAAAAAAGCTGGACCAACATCTTCAGGAGCATATTACTATGTCAAAAAAATATAATTTAAAAGATCTCCAAGTCATATGATTATGGCACACAGACTAAGAACATGACTCAGATGCAGCCAGCTAAGTTCTTCCATAAGAGACTGGACAGTAAATACATTTACTGTATTTGGACATATATTTTGGACATATATTCCCTGACACAACTATTTAACTGGGGTTTTAGTGGAAAAGTGCCACAGGTAATACTTATTGGATGAATTTGGCTGTATTCCAATGAACTATTTAATATAAATCCTGACGTGTGAATTTCATGTATCATAGAATACTATTCTTCTCTTCATCTGTTTCTAACCATTTAAAAACAAAAAACATTATTGGCTCATGAGCTATTTAAAAAACAAAAAACAAGGCTGGGAAGGTGGCTAAGTGGTAGAGTGTTTGCCTTGCATGCATGAGGCCCTGGGTTCGATTCCTCAGCACCATATATGCAGAAAATGCGGGAAGTGGCACTGTGCTTAAGTGGTAGAGTGCTAGCCTTGAGCTGAAGAGCTGGGGGACAGCACCCAGGCCCAGAGTTCAGGTCCCATGACCAGCAAAACACACACACACACACACACACACACACACACACACACACACACACACACACACACACACACACACACACACACACACACACACACACACACACACAAAACAAAAAACAAGCAATGGGCCACATTAGGCCCATGGATCAGTTTGAGAACCCTCGATCTAAAGTAAATCAAGCAGAGAAATTTAAACTAATTTAATAAAGTATCAGCTACAGAAAACTGGTAATGGTGAGGATTTTTTCTTTTTGTGTCAGTACTGAGACTTGAACTAAGGGCTTTGTGCTGTCACTTAGCTTTTCTGCTCAAGGTTGACACTCTTCTACTTGAACCACATCCTCTCTTCAGTTTTTGCTGGTTAATTAGAGATAAGAGTCTCAGGGGGCTAGGAAGGTGGCTCAGTGGTAGAATACTTGCCTTGCATGCCTGAGGCCCTGAGTTCAATTCCTCAGCACCACATAAGCAAGAAAAAGAAAAAAGCCGGAAGTGGCGCGGTGGCTCAAGTGGTAGAGCGCTAGCCTTGAGCTGAAGAGCTGAGGGACAGCACCCAGGCCCAGAGTTCAGGCCCCACGACCGGACCCCCCAAAAAAAGTCTCAGGAACTTTTCTGCCAGGATAGCTTCGAACCATAATCCTGAGATCTCAGCCTCCTGAGTAGCTAAAATTATAGGCATGAACCTATTATCTAAAGGCTTTTTTTTTTTTAAACTGGAAAAGAGGAGCTCTAATTAAAAAAAAAAAGTTTCTGACTCTATAGATAAAAGGCAATCAGTATGCTTTCTGGGAACAAAAATCTAGTTTGTAGGGAGCTGTCCTATAGTTCATGGAGTTCTCAATGTAGAAAACTGTAATTCTTTCATGGCTTTATACAAAAACAAAGGAAGCAACAACTTAACAATCAAGTCAAGGGTAAGAAGGGCAATAATCAGAGAAGCAGATCTGCAAACTCCAAACAGGCTACAAATTCAGAGACAGGTTATAAATGGTGACCTCTGAAGATGAAATCAGCTGATGACATCTGTTATGCGCAAGTGACCTGAATAAAGTAGTTTATTAACCTCTAAATCTCATCACATACACAAATTCTGAAATAAATTTTATTTTAGAAAAAAAAATCATATCCATCTGTGGTAATGTCATAACATCATGAAGGTCCACACAGAGAATGAAGAAAAACAAGCCAAAGATTTTTACAATGTTTCTCTCTACAGGTCAGGTGAAGTGGTACCCTGGCCTATTTAGTGTGCCTATCTTGTCTAAAATAAGCTGGGAAGGTGGCTCAGTGGTAGAGCACTTGCCTTGCATGCCTGAGGCCCTGGGTTTGATTCCTCAGCACCACATAAACAAAAAGAAAAAAGCCGGAAGTGGCGTTGTGGCTCAAGTGGTAGAGCACTAGCCTTGAGCTGAAGAGCTGAGGGACAGCACCCAAGCCCAGAGTTCAGGCCCCACAACCGGACCAAAAAAAAAAAAATCTTGTCTCCTTGGACTCTACCCAATCACTTCTGGAATAGAATGGCTTCTCAAGATGTTCCTACTGGCAGGATATCCCAGTGTCACTTCTGCCTTGCAGAAGGCATGGTAGTATGCATTTATAATCCCAGCACTTGGGAGGCTATGGTAGAAGGATCACAAGCTGAAGGATCGCCTGTTCAACAGAGCAAACTTAAGGTCAGCCTTAAAAGATAAAATAAATTGGGCTGGGAAGGTGGCTCAGTGGTAGAGTGCTTGCCTTGCATGCCTGAGGCCCTGGGTTCGATTCCTCAGCACCACATAAGCAAGAAAAAAAAAAGCTGAAGTGGCACTGTGGCTCAAGTGGTAGAGCACTAGCCTTGAGCTGAAGAGCTGAAGAGCTGAGGGACAGCACCCAGGCCGAGTTCAGGCCCCACAACCGGACCCTCCCCCCCCCCCCAAAAAAAAGATAAAATTAAGAAACTGTGAGCCAGGTATGAAGGTAGTACATGCCATTTCCCTCAGCACTTGGGAGACAGAGACAGAAGGAACCTGGGCCACCCATGGGTCTCTTTTTGAGGGGGTGAGGGGAAGCTGGGGCTTGAGCTCAGGACCAGGGTGCTGTCTCTTTAGATTTTTTGCTCAAGGCTAGTGCTCTACTACTTGAGCCACAATTCCACTTCTAGCTTTCTGCTAGAGAAAAGTCTCACAGACTTTCTACCCAGGCTGGCTTTGAACTGTGATCCGCGGAGCTCACTTTCCTGATAACCAGGATTAAAGATGTGAGCTGTGCCTAACTCTTACTGCAGAGGGTTTGGCAGTCAAGGACACTCTACTCTGGAGCCAGATGGACAAATCCCTGCCCCACAGTTTTTTTAAGGTTTTCTATCTCTGGGCTGCTTCATCTTGTGAAACAGATTAAAAAGGGATAGATCCCCAAGAGTCCTTGGGAAGATTTAAAAAAGATAATGCATATGAAGCACTTGGAGGAATGTCTGGCACTCAGTAAGTAGTAGCTCTTTGTTATTACTATCTTTGTATAGTTTATTGTTGACTATAACAATGGGGATAAACACTTTTTCTGAACTCCTTGATCCTGACAATATTCCAGACTTTCATTCACAACAATTTTCCTCTTTATCAGAAGCATTCCTCTTAAGATATTACTTTAATTTCAATTAAACACTCCAACCAACTTCTTGACAAGTGGGGAGGGGGTAGGGGGTGGGGGAGAAGCTGCATGCCCACACAGGTACACTAATACTGGAGCTTGAACTCGGGGCCTAGGTGCTATTCATTAGCTTATCACTCAAGGCTAGTGCTCTACTTAAACCACAACTCCACTTCCAGCTTTTTGGTGGTTAGAGATAAGAATTACAAGGACTCTCCAGAGTAGCTAGGGTCATAGGCAAGAGTCACCAATGGTTGGCTTGAAAATGTGTGTGTGTGTGTGTGTGTGTGTGTTTGTGTGTGTTGGTCCTGGGGCATTGTCCCTGAGCTTTTTTGCTCAAGGCTAGCGCTCTACCACTTGAGCCATAGCTCTTCTTCTGGCTCTTTGGTGGTTAACTAGAGATAAAGTCTCATGGACTTTCCTGCTTGGGTTGGCTCTGAACTACAATCCCTCAGACCTCAGCTTCCTGAGTAGCTAAGATTACAAGCATCAAACACTGGTGACTGGAAAAAAATTTTTTTTCTTCTTTTTTTTTGGGTAGATCATGGGGCTTGAATTCAGGTGTGAGTGCTGTCCCTGAGCTTTTCTGCTTAAGGCTAACACTCTATCACTTTGAGCCACAGTGCCACATCTGGTTTTTGGGTGGTTAATTGGAGATAAGTCTCATGGACTTTCCTGCCTGGGCTGGCTTTGAACTTCGATCCTAAGATCTGTCTCCTGAGTAGCTAGGATTATAGATGTGAGCCACCAGCACCCGGCAAAAAGCTATTTTTTTCTTCTTTTTTTTTCTTTTTTTATTGTGAGAATACCATACAGAGGGGTTACAATTACATGGGCAAAAAATATATATATATTTTTAAAGCTATTAAAATGTTAACTTTTTATGTGATTCCAAAACATTTTCATTATCCTGGTCACAAACCAGAATAATGCAATTTTTACAAACATACTTTTCATTCTTTTTGTAGTAAGGATGACTCCTATATTGTGCAAACATCAAAACTAATCATATGTATCACATTTAATTCATTTATTTATTCCATAAACATTTGGGGGGGGAAGCGGTGGGAAATAGGATCTTATATATCCCAGGCTGACCTAGAACTTGGCAATTCTCCTGCTCCATCTTCCCAAGAAGATTTCATTCACATTTCAAACATGTGCTATTAATCTCAGAAAGTAAACTGTGTGGGGCTTTTTAGTTTGTCTTGTGATGCTGGGAATACAATCCAGGGCATCATGTATCTCACTGAACTACTGCATCCTCTGGCCTACCTCTATTTCCTTTTTTTTCTGAGATGAAGTCTCACTATATTACCTAAGCTGGTTCCTAATTTCTGAGCTCAAGTGATGCTCTTGCCTCAATCTTCCATGTAGCTGGGGCTATAGATAATCAAGAATGCATCTGCTCTCAATGAACATAATATGCCTTCTGTGTGGCAGACAGTATTCTAGTAGCAGTGACAGTGAGACAGCTGAAATGCAAGCCCTACTCTCAAGAAGCTCATGGCAGAATGAGCTGAAGAGTTAAAATGCAGAGTGAGAACATTCTGACTTAGGTGCCAAAAATCAAATAAACTCCTAATTAATGTGTTTCAATGAAAATGATGATACAAAATAATGACAAGGGTGACCATTAACCCTACAGGGACCCACACGCCTACCTGTTAACATGCTCCTCCCAGTCTTCTGGTGGGGGAGGGGCATCTGCATCCGTCCTGGCAAAGATGACATGCCTTTCACACTCGTTCATCACACTGCGTGCCTTCTGATTGTCATAGAGTGGCATAGGAGTTGACGTGACGGTCTCCACATCTATTGGGATGTCTGATTCACTGTAAACAGGTGAGGAAATAGGACCAGGCCACCCATACTTCACACAATACAACTGTCTAACAATCATTTTCATCTTTCCCAAACTTGCCTAGACCTCTGCACTTTTTGGTATGTGCTATAGGAACACAGAGTCATTTTAAGACCATACAAAAAGTGACACAGCTATTTAAAAAGGCAAATGTAAGCCATATGCTAATGACTGGCTTTAAATTAACAAAATCAACCAGAATGAAAAATTAGTTGTTCATCACACTGATCACATTTCAAGTACTCAGCAGATATATGTAGCACCTGCCTACAAAAGGGATATCACAGGAGTAGAACATTTCTTACTACTGCAGAGATTTCTGCTGGATAATACTGTCTAGAGTTTTAAATTATTCATAAAAACTTAAATTATTCATAAAAACTTCCCTTTCTGCTAGCAAATGAACTGGTAGTTAATTCTATGCTTATAAAGTCTGTAGTTGTCTAAGACAGTACACTTGGCATGCAGACACCTTAGTTATTTAACTAACTCATTTTGTACAGATACTAAAACAAACGAATATAAATGGAAAAGTGAATCTAAAAATTGACGTTAATGAAATTCAAGGGGCATGAGGTTTCTTCCCCACTCACAGATCATTTCTTCACTTGACATACTTTGTCAGTCACACTGGTCTGTGGTAGTTTATTAAACGTACTAACTTCTGGAACTCAATGTTTTTATTGCACACATTCTCAGTGATTAGAATAATTACATCAATATGAAATTAAGCAAAGAAATATGTACATAATGGTGGGCATTATCTTTTATTTTCTCTGGGCCAGACAAAGGGCTAGCATTTAGACAATACTATTATAATCTATTTTTGAAAATTCAAAGTGATCTTTCAAAAATATATAATTCATTTCAATGACTTCTTACCATTCTTAGAATCAAATAGCTACATGAGGTAGCCTCTGCCAACTTCTATCTCCCACTTATAGCCTTCCACCAGATTCCGCCACAATGACCTAAAAAGAGTTACTACAATATGCCAAATTTCTACGTGCAAGGCTAATATACGAAGACAAAGGCTTATCTGAGAAAAACTTTTCTAAGTACCAGACCAACTCTACTGAAAATGGACATACAAATTTCAATGTCAGCAAGAAGCTTTTCATTACAAGAAAAAAGTATTTTTGAATTCTACTCTAAGGAACTCTTGAGTTTATTCCAGGCCAGAGGCATCAGAATGATGCTAAAGTCACAACACCAAAAATCTAAAAAGCTTACGGAAATGAAATAAAAACCACTGTTTTACACATGCTAAAATTACATCATAGTTCTTCTAGCTAACCCCTGGAGACTAATGGGAATGGGGAAGCATCTAAAGAAGCAAAATACCAGACTTCTAGTCCCTAACAAAACAAACCTGTGGGGCTGGTAAGGTGACTCAGTGGTAGAGTGCTTGCCTTGCATGCATGAGGCCTTGGGTTCCATTCCTCAGTACCACATAAGCAGAAAAAGCCAGAAGTAGCGCTGTGGCTCAAGTGGTAGAGTGCTAGCCTTGAGCTGAAGAGTTGAGGGGCAGTGCCCAGGCCAAGAGTTCAGGCCCCACAACCGGCAAAAAAAAAACCAAAAAACAAAAAAACAAACCTGTGCTTGAAAAAAGATAAAATATAGACAGGCATCAGTGGCTCATACCTATAATACTAGCTACTCAGGAGGTTAACATCTGAGGATCAAAGTTCAAAGCTAGCCCAGGCAGAAAAGTCCTCATGAGACTCTTATCTCCAGCTAATCACCAAAAAACCAGAAGTGGCACTGTGACTCACAATGGTAGAGCTTAGAGACAGTGCCCAAGCAAGCCCCATGACCAACAAAAATAAAAATAAAAGATTAAACACTAGATGAGAGTGAAAACAAAACCCTTCTCCAAAAGTTTATAATTAAGGACACAAATTGATCATAAGAATAGAAAATATCACCAGGCACCGGTGGCTCACACCTGTAATCCTGGCTACTCAGGAGACTGAGATCTGAGGATTGTGGTTCAAAGCCAGCCTGGGCAGGAAAGTCCATGAAAACTCTTATCTCAAATAAACTACACAGAAAACTGGAAGTGGCGCTGTGGCTCAAGTGGTAGAGCACTAGCCTTGAGCTGAAGAGCTGAAGGACAGCACCTAGGCCAGAGTTCAAGCCCCAAGACCAATCAAAATAATAAATAAATAAGTAAATAAATAACTAGAAAAAACAACAAACCTTGAAATGGAATAAATCAATGCTTTAGAGCTAAAGAATTGCTAAACAGTATTACTTAGGCCGAATGTAAGTATATCATCTCATCTATCAGATAGTAAAAAATTTTTAAATTGATTTCCTATAACGTAGGCTGGCTGAAACATAATTAGATTTTATAAAAGTTCAGTATAGGGCTGGGAAGGTGGCTTAGTGGTAGAGTGCTTGCCTAGAATGCATGAGGCCTTGGGTTCGATTCCTCAGCACCACACAAGCAGAAAAAGCCTGAAGTGGAGCTGTGGCTAAAGTGATAGAGCACTAGCCTTGAGGTGAAGAGCTGAGGGACAGCGCCCAGGCTCAGAGTTCAAGCCCTACATCCGACAAAAAAAAAAAAAAAAAAGTTCAGAATAACTCATGGTAGCTATTCTGTAATAAGGTAAGGAATGAGGGAAAACAATGTTTGGAGAATTCCCTACTAACCTTAGGAAAAGCAAAATGTAAAGTACTCTAAGAAGGCTGTTTCTGCCTGTTTCGCTGCTGTCAAGCAAACCAAATGCAACAATGAAGTTGACAGGGTTCCTGGCAATTTTTCACAACTCAATTTTTCAGACTTTCTCTTTACTTTCCTCTTTCCACACAAGCCCTATAACTTAAGTGGAATGGGTTGTTTGCTTTCCTTTGCACACCTTATTTTTCTAACTCTTGTTAGATATCTCTTGTACAGGTCTACATTTTGGTCTGATATGCTTATGTTGCTTAAGAGAAATGCCTGAACGAAACAGCCAAGCTTCCTATAAGATATCCCCCAATCATCTAAGAGAAAATCCTCTCCAATCCCTACCACCTGATTATTGACCAATTGAAGCAGCAGGCAGCCCTTAGGCAGGAAGCCCAAACTCACATGGTATTCTCATGTTGCCGTCTTGGTGTAACAAAGAGCATGCGCGTGGGGCGGGCACTACTGGCATCTGGGTGGGCACTCCATGGCTTGGCATAGCTATGATCCAGAAAAACGAGGTCCAGCTCCCGCTCGTGCACTGAAAGCTGGAAGAGCAATGAGGTGCCCATGCGCCGAGCAGAAGTCTGGAAGTCCCTCTCACCACCCCTGTGGGCCATTTCAGAAGAGGGGCAGCTGGTCAGAGCATGAGTATCTGCATGCTAGTCACCTGCAGTGAAAAGTTAAGTGTGTCAATTTGAATATTCTAAATGTCACCCAACTTAGAATCTCTTTAATCTGCTTACTTTGGTGACCCATTGCCATAGATGAGTACCTGCTATATAGGGAGCACTTGTGCCTAAGATCCCACACCACCACCCTGAAGAGGATGAGACCATGAATTCTTCCTTACTCAAAAGCTACAAAACGCCGGTGGCTCACCCCTGTAATCCTAGCTATTCTGGAGGCTGAGATCTGAGAGAATCCCGGTTCAAAGCCAGCGTAGGCAGCTAAGTCCGTGAGACTCAACTCCAATAAACCACCAGGAAACCGGAAGTGGCACTGTAGCTCAAAAGCTGAAGAGCTGAGGGACAGCGCCCAGGCCCAGAGTTCAAGTCCCACGATCAAAAAATAAAAAAGCTGGGCTGGGAAGGTGGCTCCGTGGTAGAGCGCTTGCCTTGCAAAGCCTGAGGCCCTGGGTTCGATTCCTCAACACCACATAAGCAAAAAGAAAAAAGCCGGAAGTGGCGCTGTGGCTCAAGTGGTAGAGTGCTAGCCTTGAGCTGAAGAGCTGAGGGACAGCGCCCAGGCCTAGAGTTCAGGCCCCACGACCGGACCCAAAATAAACAAATAAGCTGGGGCTGGGAAGGTGGCTCAGTGGTAGAGCGCTTGCCTTGCATGCCTGAGGCCCTGGGTTCGATTCCTCAGGACCACATAAGAAAAAAGAAAAAAGCCGGAAGTGGCGCTGTCGCTAGCGTTGGCCTTGAGCTGAAGAGCTGAGGGACAGCGCCCAGGCCCAGAGTTGAGGCCCCACGACCAGACCCAAAAAATAAATAAATAAATAAGCTACACACCCAGGTAGCTGGAAGCTGAATAGACACCTCAGTTCACAAAGACCTATCTATTTGGACAATAAACTTGTGGTAGGCACCACAATTTCCTACATTGAGTAGAGAGGATCTGGGCAAACAACAGTAATCTTAGATGTGAATTCTTCAAAAAAAAAAAAAAATCAAGTCTCTTATTTCCATTCTGTGAAAAGAACGTGACCAAGCCGGGACGCTGGTGGTTTCATCTTGTAACTCTAGCTACGCGGGAGGCTGAGATGGGAAAATGGTCATTGGAAACCGGCCCAGTTCACTGAGACTCATCTCCAGTTAATCACCCCAAAGCCGGAGGTGGGGCTGTGGCTCACAGGGTAGAACTCTAGCCTTGAGCTAAAGAAGCTGAGCGGGACAGCCCCCCAGGCCCTGAGTTCAAGTCCCAAGACAAACAACAACAACACCAACACTGGGACTGGTACCAGAACAGTACACACACACACACACACACACACACACACACACACACACACACACACACACACACACACACACACACACACACACACACACACACACACACACACACACACACACACACACACACACACACACACACACACACACACCCCGAGAACCAGGCGCTCCTGGGCGCCCCCAAAACAACAGAGCACCGTGTGTCGCGGGGGTGCGCCTCACAGCAAGGACGCCCGTGCCCCCCACGGTTATTCACGTTCAACAAAAGTTTTGCAACTACTTCATTCGGGAACCACGAAAAGGAGGGCCGTCCCCGCCAGGCCTGCTCGGAGGACGCCCGGGAAGGCCCCGCTCCCACCGCCCAGGAGGGGCCTCCTAGCGGGGGGATGCTGCCAGGGCGCCTCAAAAACCTCAGAACCGCCAGGCTTAACGCGCCGTCTACCGACCCCGGCGGTGGCTCCGGGAACGACTCGGCCCCGGTCACCGCGCGTTCTCGGCGGGGAGGAGCCGCCCGGCGCCCGCCTCCCGCTCCCCCGGGCCCGCTCCGCGCCCCGAGTCCCAGCGGCCCAGACGCGGTCCCCGCGCACCCCCGGCCCCACACGCGCGGCCGACCCCGGCCCTCGGCCGCGGCCTGCGGTCTCCGCATGCCGGGAGAACGCTGAAGCCCTCGCCGAGGCCGCCACCCGCCACCGACCGCTCCCGCCGAGGCCGACCCAGGCCTCACCCGCAGTCGGCCCGCCGCGCGCTCGCCCGGGCCGGACCCCAGCGCGCGTGCGCGCTACCGCCTCTGCGTCTGGGCCCCGAGTACCGAGTAAAATGCGGAAACAGATTACAGCCTGGGAAGCGAGGGCAGCGAGCGGCAAAGCCAGGGGTGGATTTCGCCCTGGGGAGAGTGGAACGGGAAGGACGCCTAGGTCGCCCAGGGAGTCATTTCCGGCCTCTGTATTGGCTGTGGTGGTGGTGGGGCGGGGAGGGAGCCCGGGCCGCGTGGCTCTGACAGCCCCAGTGCAGTCATCGCCGCCCTCATTCCAGTTGCTTTTTTATTTTTTTTGCCATTCCCTTACCCCTCCCAGTTGCTTTCCATCCTGTGTCCCACTACCCCAGAGACAGAGTGATGAAAACAGGGTCCAGAATCACCTGCATTCAAGCCGCCCGTTTTAGTGAATGTACTCATTCATGTGAATGCATGTATTCTTTTTTTTGCCAGTCCTAGGGTTTGAACTCAGGCCCTGGGCACTGTCCCTGAGCTGCTTTTGCTCAAGGCTGTCTCTATCACTTGAGCCACAGCGTCACTTCCGGCTTTCTCTGTGTATGTGGTACTGAGGAATCGAACCTGGGGCTTCATGCATGCTAGGCAAAAACACTCTCCCGCAAAGCCACATTCCCAGCCCCAAGAATTTACTCTTTAAGCCAGGCACTTGGTGGCTCATGCCCATCAACCAAGCTACTCAGGAGGCTGAGATCTGAGGATCTCAGAAAGCCAGCCCCTGGCAGAAAAGTTCATGAGGCTCTTATCTCCAATTAATCAACAAAATAACCAGAAATGGAGCTGTGTCTCCAGTGGCCAAGCATCTTGAGTAAAAGAGTCAAGTGAGAGTTCCAGGCCTTGAGTTCAAGCCCCAGTGCCAGGGGGGAAAAAGTCCTGATTTCTCTATATCTTCCCTCCAATGGCCTTGCTTTATTTTCTTATCTAAATTGTATGACTTTGGCAATGACTCATGCCAGATACCTTGCTTGAATAAAGAGAAAACATAACTTTTTATTGTTATTTTAAAGGTGATGTACAGAGGGGTTCTTGTTTCATAAGTCATGAGTACATTTCTTTTTGGACAATGTCACCCCTTCCCTTGCTCTCTCCCAGGTTTTCCCTCTTATCTGCCTACAAGTTGTACAGTTTATTTTCAACATAGTGTCTACTGAGTACCACTGTTGCATTTGTTCACCCTTTGTCCCTCAATTTCTGTGCTCTTTATATACCCTCCCACAAAGAGAAATAAACAATCAAGACAGGAAAATAAAAAGAAAAAAAAAAACCCTTTGTTCTCATTTCATGGAATTCATTTAAATAAATATTATTTTATACGATCAGAGGCACATGGTGCCTTTGGGTACCTCCCCTAAGAGTATCCTCCTTTGGTCTCACTGTGTACAAATAGAGAAAACATAACTCATGCCTGATTGTGAAATCAAAAGGATACCAAGAATAAAAGAAAAAAAGAAGAGAAAGAGAAAATGTCAAAGCAGCCAGGTCTTTTTGTTTGTGCAGGCCTAGTCACCTCCAGCCACTGGCTTTACATGTGCTCTTATCCACCTTCCTCTCCCAGAGTTCCTCTCCAGAACCAAGAACCATACACCTCTGTGACATGCCTTCCTGTTGCTAAGCTCTCCTCACCTGGTGAATCCTGGGAGAAGACTTGGATCAAAGCTTTCAGAAGGAATCTGTAGTTCTGCAGGGAAAGGAGGAAGAAATAAGTGGAAGATGCTTCAACTTGTAGTGGAGTCAGCCCAGATTGTCCCATCCATAAGCCCTACACCCAAACCTTGTGTGATTGTCTCCTTCAGAGGTGAGAGCCAGGGGCACAATGACAGAGAAGAGCTCCAAGAGGTGACTTGCATGCAGTAAAAAAAAGAACAAAAAAACAAAACTAGATTTATTGGCATCCTACTCTGACTCTGACAGAGATTACTTGTACAACAAAATGGTAAACTAGACAGTGTCAAGTTGTTTTTAAAACCTATCACCAAACCAGGCGCTGGTAGCTCACGCCTGTAATCCTAGCTACTCAGGAGGCTGAGATCTGAAGACCACGGTTCAAAGCCAGCCTGGCAGGAAAGTCCGTGAAACTCTTATCTCCAATAAACCACCAGAAAACCAGAAGTAGTGCTGTGGCTCAAGTGGTAGAGCACTAGCCTTGAGCTGAAGAGCTGAGGGACAGTGCTCAGGCCCAGAGTTCAAGCTCCATGACCGACCAAAAAAAAAAAAAAACCTATCACCACTGGTGGCTCACGCCTGTAATCCTAACAACTCAGGAGGCTGAGATTTGAGGATTGCAGTTCAAAGCCAGCCCGAGCAGATAAGTCTGTGAGACTCTTATCTCTAATTAACCAGCAAAAAGAACCCAAAAACCAAAACCCAGAAGTAGCATTGTGGCTTAAGTAATAGAGTGCTCACCTTGAGCCAAAACACTGAGGGACAGTGCCCACACCCAGAGTTCAAGCCCCAGGACTGGCCAAAAAAAAAAAAAAAAGCTGGAAGTGCAGGTGTGGCTAAAGTGGTACAACAACAGCCTTGAACACAAAAGCCAAGCACTATTGAGTGCAAGGCCCGGAGTTCAAGCCCCAGTACTGGAATAAAAAAAAAAAAAAAAAAAGAATTATAAAGGACTAAAGTTCAATAGTAGAGTACTTGTCCTAGAAGGTATGAGGCCCTGAGTTCCAATCCAGCTCAGTAAAAACAAGCCAACCAAAAAGAAATTTAACGTCTTTTTCACTGTTTTGTTTGTTATTTATTTTTTGTCCGTCATGGGGCTTGAACTCTGGACCTGAGTGCTGTCCCTCAGCTCTTCACCTCAAGGCTAGTGCTTTACCACTTGAGCCACAGCACCACTTTCAGTTTTCTGGTGGTTTATTGAAGATAAGAGTCTCACGAACTTTCCTGCTGGCTTTGAAAGGTGATCCTTAGATCTCAGCTTTCTGAATAGCTAGGATTACAGGTGTGAGCCACCAGCACCTGGCCCACTGTCAGTTCTTATGATTTCTCTGCCTTCCATTTTTTACCCCAGGAAATGATTATGGGTAAAGAACAGGAATAAATATTCCTTGACCTTCCATGAACTAGGGCTATGTGATAAACTGAGGGTTCAAGAAAGTAAGGCCTCTTCTTCCTAAAATTGTTAGAAGGACTTAATATACAGACAATCTTGAATACAACTTCTACTAGTGACTGCTCCAAAATACTCTTTTTTTTTTTTTTCTTGAGACAGGCCTCATTATGTAGCTAAGGCTAGTTTGGAATTCATCAATCCTCCTGTTTCTATGTTCAGCTAATGTTAATTACTCTGTGTGTGTGTGTGTGTGTGTGTGTGTGTGTGTGTGTGTGTGTGTGTGTGTACTTGAACTTAGGGTTTGGCTCACAGCTGGTGGTCTACCACTTGAACCACAGTAATAACCCTTGCCTCATTAACCTTATGGAATGTCTGTGAGGGACAAATATAGTTATATTTATAAAAAGGCTTTTGTTGCTGATAAAGCTCATTCAAAAGTAATTGCTATGACTCTAAGAGTCATCTCTAAGCATCCTACAGAGCAGGATGACTCTAGGCATCCTATTCTAAGCAGACCTACAGAAGTCTGAGTAAAGAAGGCAATTCCTAAGCAGGGTGCTGGTAGTTCATGTCTGTAATATTAGTTACTCAGGAGGCTGAGATCTGAAGATTGAATTTCAAAACCGGCCTGAGCAGTAAAAGTCTGAGAGACTCTAATCTCCAATTAACCACAAAAAGCCAAAGTGGAGCTGTGGCTCAAGTGGTAGGGCACTAGCCTTAATCAAAAGAATTCAAGAATGGTGCTCAGGCCCCAACTTCAAGCCCCAGTACTGGCAGACACACAAAAAAACAACAAAAATAAAACAATTCCTGGGGGCCTGGGAAGATGGCTCAGTGGTAGAGCGCTTGCCTTGTCTTGCTTGAGGCCCTGGGTTCGATTCGTCAGCGCCACAGAAACAGAAAAAAAAAAGCCGGAAGTGGTGCCATGGCTCAAGTGGTAGAGTGTTTGCCTTGAGCTGAAGAGCTGAGGGACAGCGCCCAAGCCCAGAGTTCAGGCCCCACAACCGGACCAAAAAAAAAAAAAACAATTCCTGGAACTGGATGTGTGAATCAAGTGGTAGAGCGCCAGCCATGAGTGAGTGAAAAAGACAAGCCCTTAATTCAAGCCCCAATACCAGTATAGAAACAAAACAAAACAATGTCTTTAATTTTTTCCCCTGATCTATAAAACTATGCTTGTTGAACAACACTGAGGCTGAACATATGGGACATGGAGTTCACAGGGTGATCTATAGTTATGTCTCAGGTGGCAGATTTTTGTAGGTGTGATTGGAGTTCAGTATTCATTTGCCCCAGTTGCCCAGTCTTAGGATTAGCCAGGCAAGAGACTTGCAGCTCCCTTTCTGGTCCAAGTCATCATTGCTATCACATCATAAGTGCCAACTTTCTTCTAAAATGCTTCTTATACAAATGCCTCGCTGGGCACTAGTGGCTCACGCCTGCAATCCTAGCTATTCAGGAGGCAGAGATCTGAAAATCATGATTCAAAGTCAGCCTGGGCAGGAAAGTCCATGAGACTCTTATCTCCTATTAACCACCAAAAAGCTTGAAGTGAAACTATGGCTCAAGTGGTCAAGTGCCAATCTTGAATGAAATAAAGCTAAGGGACAGTGCCCAAGCCCTGAGTTCAAGCCCCAGAACTGGCACCAACAATAACAACAAACAATACCTAATACTCAGAATCTTAGGTTTATTCACAGATATAACTACCAACCCTGATTTCCTATTTTATATTATATATATATATATGTTGGGTTTTTTTTGGTCAGTTGTGGGGCCTGAACTCTGGGCCTGGGCGCTGTCCCTCAGCTCTTCATCTCAAGGCTAGCGCTCTACCACTTGAGCCACAGCACCACTTCACTTTTTTTGCTTATGTGGTGCTGAGGAACGAGCCCAGGGCTTCATACATGCAAGGCAAGCACTCTACCACTGAGCCCCTGTTTAATATATTTTTTATTTCTTTTGTCCCTATGT